TTGATTAAGGTTTTTTCATGTTAATTAATGTCTAATTAATAGTTTATATAACATTTCAGGTCTAAAGAAAGACCTGCAATAGACAGATTTAGCTCTTACATAATGTATGTTTAAACACCAAGAACACTAGTCTGAATCTTCTGAAACCGACATCTGATAGGTTAAAATGTGTATCAACCATAGAATGAAGGAATAAAATAGGGTTTAAAGTCTTACTTTTCTGCACCAACTGGGCTAATAAAGACATCCATATGCTACCCAATATGCTATGAGAGAAATTTTACCCAGTAGCTATCCAATTCCAAGTGTCATGGTTTTTTTTTACATGAACACCATGATAAACCTTGGTTTATCATCCCATCCTTGACAGTCCCTCTGTCCTTCACTACTGCCATGGGGAACCACGGTTACCACGCTGGAAAATCCGGGGGGACTTTCTAGAACCAACACCAGGACAGAACCTACTCCTTGTCACGTACAACTGGGGAAACGAAACCACGCCAGTTGACTCAATGACAGACCTTATGATACAGCGCACACGCTAACCATTCGGCCATCCCCCAAACCCCCCAAATGGATAGAACCCCACACCTCCTGGTTAGCGAGTGAGCACCTTTCTCACTGAACCCCATGGGTCATGTGTCGGTAATAAACTGACATGTTTGTTTTAAATTTCGCATGCAATCTAATTTAAACATGTCTGATTGACTGTATTTATGGAATCAAGTCATAACAGAATTTATTTTTCTACTAATCAGTAAATTTCTACAGCACTAATTCCTAAAAGAACACAGTTTTTATGGGAAACAATCACTAGATTTTATTCTAAAAGCATGATGTTTCGTCAAGTATCCTCTTATTGTTATCAAGCACCATGAAAAAAAAAATAGTGATTGTATCTCATAAAAACTGTGTTCCCCGATTGCTTAATGCCACTTAAAAGATTACACAAATTCCTACTAATTCCTAAATCCCTGGGTCCATATAGGGCAGAGAATGCAGGATGTTTATTATACCTACCAACAATAGAACAATTCAATAACTTCCTGTTCAACAGTAGTCAGTGTTTATTACTCTATAACATATCCTGATCACAAGAAATTAAAAATCTAGAAAGACAATTTATTGGTTGTATACATGAATAGTCAATTTGTAATAAATATTAAAACTTAATTCAGCTATAAATTGATTCTACATGTATTTTAAATATACAAAGACAATTTGGTTGTATAGTCAATTTGTAATATATACTATTCAAAAAAAGTAGGGGATATTTGATTTTGGGGGCATAATACTAAAATATGCAAATGACTACGAAAAAAGTCACTATAGAACCTAACAGAAGAAACATTTCCAGTTACATGTGACGCCCATACGCACCAATAAGTACCGCATGGAATGCAGGTGATGCTTGGGATCATCATGGGGGTCCAACCCAAGATTTGCACGACTCTGACTTTGAATGTTACAGTCATTGTGGCATTGAATTCCAGGGTGGAAACATCAGTTTAATTGTTTTAGTGACCAGAAAACAAATTTTGATATGCGTCGGCTTACCCAAAATGAAAGGTTACGTGCCCTTGGCATGCTACAGATCGGCACAACACAGGCGGTTGTGGCGCGGACGATGAATGTTTCTCAGTCTGTCATAAGCAGGCTATGGTCCAGATACCGTGATACACAATCTGTACAGGACAGACCATGCTCAGGTCGACCAAGGGCGACAACTCAAGCCCCGGATCGATTTATCCGTACCTTGGCCTTGAGAAATCGTGTCATCACAGCAAATCAGATCAGCGCTCGTCTTCAAACAGACACTGGTGTGAGAGTGAGTGGCCAGACGATTCGGAATCGACTGCATAGCGGTCACCTTCGCGCCCGACGTCCTCACGTGATCCCTTGTTTGAGAGATCATCACATTCAGGCAAGACGTCGTTGGTGTAGGGATCGTCAACACTGGGATAATCGACGCTGGAGCAATGTGATGTTTTCAGATGAGTCAAGGTTCACTGTTGATTTTTTGGACAGACGTAGGAGGGTGTGGCGTCGTCGAAACGAGCGCTTCCAAGACGTTAACGTCATCAGACATGATCGATTTGGGGGTGGTTCTGTTATGGTGTGGGGAGGCATCACTGTTGCTGGAAGAACGGCTTTACATGTTGTTGCAGGGCGTGTTACAGGCCAGTACTACCTGGACAACATCTTGGCAGTCAATGTTGTGCCGTTCGCACGACGTCATGGCCGCCGTTTCATCTTCCAGGATGACAACGCAAGATGTCACAGGGCCAGGATCGTTACAGGTTACCTCCAACAACAGAACATCACCACATTACCTTGGCCAGCACTGAGTCCCGACCTCTCCCCCATCGAGCATGTCTGGGACATGCTTGGACAGAGGTTACGTCAACGTCAACAACGTCCTGCCAATGTCCAAGAACTTGCTGCTGCGTTGCAACAGGAATGGGACAATCTGGACCAAAATGACCTTAGACGTCTCATTAGGAGTATGCCACGTCGGATCAATGCTTGTTTGGCAAACAGAGGAGGATTTACCCGTTACTGACTTGGTTGTGATGCTGTGGTAACTTTGCTGTTTGACCCCGGGTATCATTTTACCCTTATAATGGTCAGTCTGTGCCTTACTTAGTCTAACGATCATTTGGAATAAATTGACGAATGTGAACTTCATTTCATTTTGTCATTTGTTTCTTCGTCAGTTTCATTAGGTGACTTTAATAACACTTAAAAATCAAATATCCCCTACTTTTTTTGAATAGTATATATTAAAATATAATTCAGCTATAAACTGATTCTATTTTCGATATATGTGTAAGTTGCTATGCAAAGAAAGACACACACACACACACACCATAAGCTAAATCATCCCAGGACCAGTTTCTAGAGAGAACATCCCATCAAGTTTTGAAAAATTACAAAACTCTTTGAGCCATGCACATATTTTTTAATGACAGGATCAATAACTCTGGGAATAATCGACACCTACATTGCAATAAGGGTTCACATAAGTTTGATCATACAGGTTGCAAGTATTTGTTAAAATTCTAAATGTTGTCAGTAGGACACCCTATCGCTGACAGATAGCATGTATATCTGGATCACAGTTTATAAATTCAAATTCAATAATACCAGCTAGTTGCCATGGCATGCTGACTAAATAAGTCAAATATGTATCTTATATTGTATAATAATACTCAATTCTCTTGTTATCGGATCTCTCACCTTTTGTGACAGATGTTGACAAGGAAAGGTTCTGAAACTTTAGGCCCTGTTGTTACATATGTATTTTGTCCTATGGGGTGAATCAATCTGGTTAAAACACAGATTCTATTTCGTTTCGTTATCTATAGTTCAAAATTTCGTTTTACTTGTCTTTACTACACTAGGAGCTGGAAGGGTTCTTATACATGTGTAACCCGCATTCTGGTTGATGTGAGGGATTGGCCAATGAAACAGTCTGTTACAGCGAGTTCTTGCCGTGCGATGCACGGAACTGTGGATATCCTACTAAAAACATCAACATTGATTGCTTAATCAAATGCCTGACATCATATGGTCAAAGCCAATTTTATAACCCCTGATGCATTCTCCCGCTACAACTGGTCAGATCTTCATGTAGATACCATCGAAAGTATTAAAAAAAAAAGAAACAAAATATAGATCTGTATTGAGCATAATAAACAGAATACTTGAAAAATTCTAATTAAAGGGACGTTTCGCTGCTCAGGGGTCCTCTCAATGCTACATGTATCTAGCAAATAATTGTATTTAAAATACAGATGTGACGTCAGCCTTTGATGTTGGCTTACCATTATTTGATAATGGTCTGGCAATGTGCCAAGCATACATTATTTATACTAATTGAAATATTGGACCCACGTGATGTATTTCATATACATGCACATGCTGGATATATAGTGTCTGTACTTTAAATTGTTTAATGATCTCGAGCTTAAGACATTGTGTAGTATATATATAGCGTTTTAGCGTTTAGCGTTTTTAGCGTGTTTCCGATGTACAAGCTTAATAGCAATAATAATGATTTATTAGAAGCCAAAGAGGCATATTTTATTGACAAATATCGGCCAGCTTTAAATGCAAAATTGTAGTAATTTCATTGTATATGATATTAAAGTTATGTTCCCTCTGTGTTACTATGACACTATGACATCATAATCATTATTGTATTACCTAAATGTTGATTATCTGAAGAGCTTAATAAAATAAGCGAAAGTGCTAGTAATCGACAAATAATGTAGTTCTTTTTTCAAAAACTTCTTTATTTTTGTGTATATATATATATATATATATATATATATAGATATTGCCCTCGTCCTAACGCACACGTGCAATATCAATATATCACTTAATGTGATGCACTCAACCATTAAACTACACTTCTGAATGTTTTTATACATTTAGAATTAATTTCATTTTGATATGTAATAATACTGGATTATTCATGAGTATTAGTCAATATGTTGTTAATTGTTTTTGAATAAACATTCTGTATAATTATTACCGTATTTTCATTAATATAATTTGCTTGACATATACATGTAATATATTGAGAGGCTCTCAACAAAACTTTTACTTAGTTGCTGCATTCATAGTGAGTAAAAAGAAAGCTCAAGCAACAAATCTTACTTTGTCTAGGGCAGTGGTTATATGTTTTGTTGCAATTTGAGGAGTTTTCCTGTCATTGTGCATATATTTTATGAAATACCGGCACCTATAAAATATTATAGCCTGCATGTGCTGTTCATTACCGATACCGGTACATCATTTTACATGCCCCCATAAACTGCTACTGTCGAAATCAAATGCCTGGTTAATAATGGTAAAATTAATCGCACTTTTATCTGATGTGCAACGTTGATAATATATAAAATGTGCTTTAGGCATTAGTCAAGTGTGTGCAGTTTTTATACTGGTAACTAGTAAATATTTTAATTAAATCATTCAAAAACACGTTTATTTACCTAATCGTATATGCTCCTAATTCTGTGCCACATCCAGACTGCGGCGTATATAGCTTGCTTATATTTATCTGCTATACAAATCAACAATATACTGCTGAAATGAATAGCCAGTCCACAGAAGCAGCCTTCAATAATATCCTTTTATTATTATCCACTCGGGCATATTTGGGTTGGTATGTGACTCGTGAGGATTTCCCGATTTCCTGAGTGACGCGGTGGGAATCCCCGATGTTAGCAGCGCCCTCCAAAAGAGACATAACTCTGCTGAAACTCCCCAAGCTGACATCTAAAAATGAAACACATTTGAGATTGCCAATTTGTGTTTGTTTAGTCCTTATGAGGACTATATAAGAAGATATATTTGGTTTACTTGAACAATAAACGGGCGCACCATCATGATATTAGCTTGATTAATATCTTTTATGAAAATTTATGACGCAATATTTGTTGTGACAACTATTTTGGGAATTCCCCTATTGTTCTCGATCAAAAAGTTCGTTGGTTAAATTCCCGTGAAACCATCCAGTCTTTGAAATCGAGACTAACTTCAGAGAAACTGAAAGTAAATTTCTTCCTCTCCACAAAGAAGACAGAAAATGGCTGAATGTAGAAGAATGCTACAAGAACATGATGTCAAGCAGGAAGATATTAGTTTTGACGAAGATTCGGAATTTACCGGGTAAAATATATTGATAAGTATATGACTGTGCCCGTTCGTGTGTTCCGAATTTTAGAAAGAAAGGGTTGGTACGTCAGACGGATGCTGTCACTGACACTAGGCCTACTCTCACGGTCACCAATGTTGACGAGCACTTACAAAGTAAAACATTTTTGTGAGGGTCGCATATCATTTTTTCGGGGCTCAAAGTAGTTTTACGAGTCGCCTCATAAATTATAAAATGTCGGCTACTTAAAATTGTGGGCTAGATAAGATAAGATAAGATAAGATTTTATTGTATCATAACACCCATTTCAGGCCGCATACAATTCATATACATGACATAAGTAACATGACAAAAAATAAATAGCAATATACATATATATATTTATAAGAATACTAAACATAAAATACATAGGTTCATGTTAAAAGTGAAAATATCTATCAGAAACATTAAACACCGTCGTACCTCTACCAAGTGAGTTGGTCAAAGGGAAATCCCCATACTATAAGTAGGAAGTGTATTTAGAAACCCGAGACACCACAGGACATGATATTTCTAACTTCTTCTTTTCAGGTAGTCAACATATGCGGTCATACTTTTCTTTCCGTATCGATTTGCTCGTACTTGTACTGTCAGTGACAGTAATTAACTGACGGTCACAAAATTCATTAAAATGTAATCATTAAAATGACTAATACTAACGCGCTGATCCATAGTGAATACCGAGTAAGATTAGGCGGATTATCATCGCGGTAATCCATTTTAGTCCGGACAAAGTTCAATTCGCGCGCGCAGATTACTCATCGGAAATTAGACTGAGATTTGCACATGCGCGGGGGTAATCTGTCCGAGGAGGGTAATCTGCGCTCAACAGAGACAAACACAAAACAGACTGGATTAAAATGTGGACAATGCTAGATAAAGGAAATGAAATGAAATGAAATGGGGTTTAACGTCCTACTGTTCTGCTCCGACCTGAAGACGGGCATACGCCATACAGTGTGCTATGAGGGAAATTTTGCCCAGACAGCGTCACTACGGCCTACTCTTATATCAAATTCCATGCAACTGTCCAGGGATTTTTATGTGAATGCCAATCTGTAGACACGAGACCTCGGTTTTTGGTCCCATACAAACGTCTAGACAGCTGTCATTGTCAGGCCCTCCTTACCAACTATTTCACATTAACTTTGGATTGTCGTTGCTCGTTAATAAGTTGAGTCATTTACATGGAAGACACATCGGGGTTACCACTAATTTTCTTAAGTTTTGCATGGCCCTACTGTATAAGTATGGTCGAGTGGCTAGCGCATGCGCGCTGTATCATAAGGTCTGTCATTGAGTCAACTGGCGTGGTTTCGATTCCCCGGTTGTACGTGACAAGGAGTAAGGTCGCCTGTCCAACATCGTGGTTTCCTTCCACTGCTAAAGACCCCTACGCGCAAGCGAATTATTGAAATAAAATTGAACCATATGTTAGTCTCGAAATTACCTAGTTTGTACCGAGAGGACGTTAAACCCCATTTCTTTCTCTCTGTATAAGTATATTATTTTCTCCATTTTTCCACTTTCAGATTAGAAATGGACGAAGCAATCGAGGAAGCAATGCCGTCTTTGCCTATTCCAAAATCCGCTGCATCTGATGTCACTTCAGATTCAGATTCAAGCAGCGTATACGATAGTTCCTCTGAATCAGGAAATGAGACAAATACAATGTTAGAAACCAAAGGGAAGTACCAAACCAACACGGCCCTGTGTCTTCAACACGGTCTAGCTGATCTCTACATTAATAATCAGATGTGCGATCTTGATGTGAAGGTCGACCGGAAGGTCTTTCATTGCCATCGCGTTGTTTTATCGGCTGTGTCAAATTATTTCAGGACCATGTTTGAATCAGGAATGAAGGAAGCCAACAGTAACAGCATTACTTTGAACTCAATCAGTTCCATGTGTTTTAAGAGTATCTTAGATTTTTTGTATTGTGGTTTTGATATTTTTAACATGGACACTGTAGAGGAAGTCCTGGAAGCATCAATTCTTCTGCAGATGAGGAACCTCGAGGAAGGGTGCATCAAGTTCATGGCGTCAAATCTCGGCACAAACAATTGTTTGGATATTTGGAAACTTTGTGAAAGACACAACTGTCGAGATCTCGCTAAAAAGGCACGAAATATGGCATTGGCACAGTTTGAAAAAGTAATGACCGATACTGATCTGGTCCGTCTCGAACAAGACGTTCTAGTCAGCCTTCTTCAAGACCGAGACTTAAAGTTCAGCAGTGAAGATGTATTGTCAGACGCGATTATGACTTGGGTGGAATCTGATCCTGAAAACAGATCCGGGTCCTTGATGATGTTATTTAAATACATTTGTTTACCGGAAGTAAGTGGCGAATTCCTTTATAAGCGACTCTTGCACAATGACCTTATTAAAGACAACCCAATAATCAAACAAAAAGTGGATGACGCACTCATGTGTCACCTGATACCAACCGAGAAGGATAATGTCATGATGAAGCAAACTACTTTACGCAGTCAAGGAAGATATCGACGAGTTTTGTTGGTAATAGGCGGAAATATAACCGAAGATGACATCTTAAGGAATGTCTCGTGTTGGGATGAGGTGACGGAATGCTGGTACAGTCTTCAATCAGTGCCTCATCATATTGGAGAAGACTTTGCATCCTGCTTTTTGGATAATAATATATATCTCGCTGGTGGTTCGAGAGCACTTGATCAAGCCGTCTGGTACAATCCACAGGAAAATGATTGGCACTCGCTTCCGAATTTAAATCATGGGAGAGAGGGACACTCAATGATAGCCGTTGATAAATGCATCTACATCCTTGGTGGTCGAAGTTTCAAACGAAAAACGACTAATAAGCTTGTAGCAGAGATTGAAAGGTATCATCCAGGCTCCGAAGCGTGGGGTATTGTTGGCGAGCTTGCTCAACCGATTGAATTATTTGCGGTGGGTTCAGTCGATTCAAGAATATTTACATATGGTGGATTTGATGAGAACGGTCCCACCACAAATATTAACTGCTTTGATATATCAACCAAAACCTGTTGCATTATTTTTACCATGCCCATTGTTGAACGTTGTCTCAAATCAGTTCAGTTGCAACCAGACAAGGTACTGCTTGTATCTGGAACTGGCAACGTTTCAGTGCACACCGGCGGTGATACTTTCGAGACTTGCTTCAAGTTGCAAACTTTTAATAGAGAGAGATTTGGATTGACGATAGACGGTGATAGTATTACCGTCGTTGGGGGAATCGGAGCAGGCGTGCGGTCGGAAAAGATTGAAAATCTCTGCATCCAAAACAAAAGGTTAGTCTCAAGGGCGAATCTTTATATTCCGATGGATGGTCTACAAGCCCACTCTGTTGTTTTGGCAACAGAGCACTTATTGCAACACGGCATGAGCATCGGGGAACCCGATTTCGTTGCTTTGAATATACCAGTATCACCAAAAGCAGATATGAAGCCGAAGAGAGTTGTTAAACGAGTATGATCAATTTGATTCGCTGGAGTTGGAGAACAATAGCATAATTAAAAAAAGGAATACAGTTTTTAATCATTTCTTAGAACCGATTGCTCTTCTGCTGGTAGACTCAAGCTACAGTCTGACTTACCTCGATCGCCACAACCTAAATTGTGTCAGTTGACTACGACGAATTAAAGTCATTTACCATATTCTTAGAAGTCTTTGTAACTAATGTCCAGGGCTTGAATTGGATATAGACGTTTCCACATGATGAATATTATGTTTATATGAATATTAGCTCACTATATTCTAAAAATAGATAACAATGAGAGACACAAAATTAAATATTGCATCCGTGGCGGTACCACATCCAGGAAGTGTCGTTAGGAATGATAGTCCCGAAATGACATATTTTGTGTTGAGTGGACGTTAAACCCCATTTCTCTCTCTCCTTTAGGAACGAGTAGAAACACCATTAACATTAAACAATGAATTTCGATAGACAAAATAAATAAAGTTGACCTATTTATTTAGACAATGGGAGACTGTGTTGCAAAGTCAAATGGTATTGATGTCACCACTAATGTATTCATTAATTAGGGTAGCTCATTAACAGTAGAACCTAGAATTCTATGTCCACAGGGGGGGGTTGGATGGCTGAATGGTTAGCGTGCGCGCGCTGTATCATAAAGTCTGTCATTGAGTCGACTGGCGTGGTTTCGAATCCCCGGTTGTACGTGACAAGGAGTATGGTCGCCTGTCCAACCTCGTGGGTTTTCTCCGGGTCCTCCCGTTTCCTCCCACTGCTAAAGACCCCTATGCGCAAGCGAATTATTGAAATAAAATTAAACCATATGTTAGTCCCGAAATGACCTAGTTTGTGTCGAGTGGACGTTAAACCCCATTTCTCTCTCTCTCTCTCTCTCTCTCTCTCTCTCTATGTCCACATATACAGTTGGTTATTACAGTCGAATTTGTCTCCAACATTGGACTAAATAAATATGCCCTTTAACTCATTCTACATTCGATGTTAAAACGCACAACTAGATGTGTTTGGAAGTCAGACCGTAGTAGATTTAGTTTAGCAAATTCAAGCTTTCTTTTAATTATTGGTAGTTCATTTTGATAGTTAAGATTTGTTATAATTATAACCTAGCCATTTTATAGTTTTCATTCTTTATTAAAAATACATTATGGGAGATTAGATAAAGAGCTGACCGTTCTCACTATAATAGTTAAAAACTAGATGATGCAAAGGGAACTTGCTAAAAATATCAGTCAAATTGCTCCACTCTGAACTCAGAATTTAGCGATTGAATTTTAGTCCTAGCCTCGATCATCATTACTAAAGTCGGGACGATAAAAAAAACATAGTCACGATTATCCATTTTTTTTTACATTTAATCATCAGTGAGCGTTGAGCAGCAGGTCAGATTCTAATCCAGTAGATATCACAGGCTAGCGACGATATCGGTAGTTGATTATGGTCTTGATAAGTTAATTAATGTCTAATTAATAATTAAGATAACATTTCAGGCCTTAAGAAAGAACTACAATTGACAGATTTAGCTCCTCCATAATGTATGTTTAATACCATTTATAATAATATATGTTTAATTGTTATCTCCTCATTTATAGTTTTCATTCTTTATTTGTTAAAATTATAGCGTCTTTTTTTGTTGAATTCCATTTATATATTTATTTGTCTTGTATAGATCCGAGGAAGACGTTGTCCGACAAACAAATTAATGCGCTCTTCAATTTGAATTAAAGTTCAAAACAATTAATTTGAAATATTCTGGTGCACATTCTAGTTCAAATTGATAAGCTATAACCTAGACAATAGAGATTTCTGGCAAGTGGAAATTTCCCCATCCGTATCACGTATCCGTATCGTCATGATATGGATGTGTGATACTTTGCGTCAATGTATTTTCAGAGTTTTGGCAGATTTCGACTCGACAGCAATTTTTGGTTTCAGAAAGTTTATAATCCTATATACCATGGAATCCCATCATTTACAGATTTGCAATGTCCCACCTCCCTAAATTTAGCACGTAGATCAACCAGCATGTAGACAGACAATCTTTGTCATCGTTAAAATCACATCAAATATACACCTTGTTGTAGGATACACATAGATTCATAAAAACGCTATGGCACAACATTTCAGCGTCTAAAAGTGCTAAAAACCGAAAAGACGACGATGTTATACGGACATTTTCCGTATGAAAGTTATTCGATGCGTTCTGCCGTATCCATGTGGGGAATCCCATATGAGAAATACACACACATTGATGACGTCACACGCATAATCGATACGGATACGGACTAGGAATTTACGCTCGCCAAAAGTCTCTATTGTCCAAACATAATCCGTGACTCGGATACTGAAGGATAAACGTTACCGGTGCAGTAATGGTCGATCCCCAACTCTGTTTTGCATTAATGCTGGTATATGTAAGCCCAATCTATGTTGCCAATTAGCTCCATTATTTAATTAATTTATTAATAATCGTTTTATATTGTTTTAATTGTTTTAGGTGTACAAGAATGATACATCTGTATTGTTTTCAAATACGTTGCTATGAGCAGCACGCCATTTTAATTAAATATGTTTCAGTATTTTTATGTTGTCATAGTTATTAAAGGTGTGTATACCAACGCTGGGAAATGAGTTGTATATGAACCTGATTACAATAGATGATACCGCTATAACTGTAACATGTAAAACGACATCTCTTATACTGTCCATCAAACTGAGTCATATTAAATTCATATCTGAAAGAATCAGCTGTTAATCACAATATAATCAGGTCCATCTAGATCGACTATGTAGATATTTTACTAGATATAAATCATAGGCGTATCCATAAGAGCTCCTTGCTATGCACGCAAACACGCAACAAAATAGGTCCCTGAAGAGAGGGAGCGAGCGGTCACAAAAATATTCTCGTTTGACTGCCATAAATTAAAGCTGTTGGCCAATCTGAATAATCAGACGTTGATTAATCAATCAGCGTTGACGTTTCTAGTAGTTTACTCACAGTTCCGTGTACAGGACGCCAAGAACTCGCCGTAACAGACCGCTTCATTGGCTAATCCCTCACATTAACCAGAACGCGGCTTATATAACAACTCTTCCAGATCCTAGTGTAGTGACGACAAGTAAAACGAAATTTTGAACTATAAAAAAACGAAACGAAACAGGATCTGTGTTTTAATCCGATTGGCTGTTGGCTAAACATATTAAACCAAGTCTTTTGTCGAATGTGAGCAGCGATGATTGCGTATTCAACGCCCATTTACACCACTAGTGTACCCAAACAGCGGCTAATGTGCTTTGAAAATACCAATAATGAAAATTATATACGATACGTCTTTAACAATTCCCCAGTTGTAAGCAGTAAAGATACAGTACATATCGGTGAATAATATTTACAAACATCTGTAATACTTTTTAACAGTTTTATACGAGGACAGGCAGTGTCTCCCTGAAGAACAAATAAGGTGCCCATTCAAATCCATACCTGAATAACTACTTAAATTAAAATTCAAAAACTAGAGGAAATGAAATAGGGTTTAACGTCCTACTGTTCTGCTCCGACTGGGCTAATGAAGATGGGCACACGTTAAACAGTATGCTATGAGGGAAATTCTGCCCGGTCTACTCTCATATCGAATTCCAACTGCCAAGGGATCTTTTACGCGCACGCCAATGTATACACGGGACCTCGGTTTTTTTGTCCCATCCGAACGACTAGACAGCTGACCTTATCAGGCCCTCAGTCCTGCAACATTGACAAGGGAAAACCACGTCGGAAAATCCCAAGAACTTTCTCGGCCAATGCAGGGATCGAACACGTACGCGACCTCCAGATGTAGCGAGCCAGCTTATTACCCACTTAGCCACAGGGGCTCCCAGAAACTAGAGGAACTTTAGGTTTTTTGGTTGTAAGATGTATGGTCAGACTATAGTTACAGCTATTGCATAACATTTTTACCCACTTTTAATTTTAAAAATGGCCTCCACCTGGTGGAAGCCCCGGTGAAACAGACCTAAGAACAACACTTGCGTTATACATAAAGGCCAGCTTTTAATATAAAACGTGTCAATCATTATTAATAATAAAATAGATGAGAAGATAATTCTTGGTATAAATTGTATTTCCAGATTGAAATCTGATCAGTTTTGAGAACAGGCTGTTATGATGAATATGTTGTCTATCAAGGGAGCAGTATTATTTTGCATTGTGTTGACTCTTTGCCATGTACATGCCAAGGCCGAGACCACTCCAGAACCGACCAAATCGCCTGTGTTGCAAAGCGACGATACCGAAAAGCCAGGGTCTCGTGTATTTAATATTTTTCAGTTGTTTCATGTGTTAGGATTTGAAATTATCCGTATACAGGACGAGTTGGAGACGTGTCGTGTTGCACAATCAGATTTAGAAGAAATAGTTCCAGTAGTTACCTCGCCTGATGCAACAGATGACGCCACCACACAGTCCAGTATTCCCACAGACCAGTCAGTAGTTGAACAACCACCCCAATCTGCCCATCTAGGAGAACCAGCAGAAGTTCAAGCACTGGTTGAACCCGACCAACTACCATATTTATATGAACCAGTTCAGTTACCAAACAAACCCACGGTAGGTGACATTCTACCCGACCCTGCTATTGCACCTGTTGTTTCAGGAGGAGAACTGGATTTTCCATCGGATGGCCAATATAAAGAACATCAACCAAATGCACCTGAAGTTTTAACAGGTACTGCCCAAGACGACCATGTAGGCAGCCTACCCGTTACAGTAAAAAACATAAAACGCAACAAAGTGAATTTGATTAAACGCCATTTTGGATTTGGGTTCGGATTTATGCTGAACATGATGATTTCACATCTTGAGAAATTTGACGAAGCGTTGAAGAACTGTAGGATATCAATTGGTGAATCGTCGATTGATCAGACAACCCTGGATGTTCTTAGTGCTTCCGATACTACTTCTTCCCCAACGACTACCTCGACAATGGTACCAGTATCACCTCAGACACCAACGGAATCAACAACTATAACAGTTACTTCAACACTGCAGACACCAACCTCAACTTCAGTACCAGCGGAAACAACAACTAGCTAAACTAATGGAAGTTCTCCCTCCATATATAGGGTGGTTGGATGGCCGAAATGACTTAGTTTGTGTCGAGTGGACGTTAAAATCCACATGTCTCTCTCTCCCTCCATATATAGATCTAGTATTAGTACAAAAGATATTTAACACCACTATTAGATACCCAATGTACCAGAATAAAAGTTAAATATCAATATACAACTTGAAGATGCATTATGTAAGATTTTAAAGATGCATTATGTAAAATGTAGATAAAGAGCTGATAGTTCTCGCTATAATAGTTAGGAAATAAATAATGAAATGGAAATATGTTGAAAATTTCAGTCAAATTACTCAATTCTAAGCGGAGTTGGGGAGTTGGATGGCCGAATGGTTAGCACGTGCGAACTTGATCATAAGGCCTGTCATTGAGTCGACTGGCGTGGTTTCGAATCCCCGGTTGTACGTGATAAGGATTAGGGTCGCCTGTCCAACCTTGTGGGTTTTCTCCGGATCCTCCGGTTTCCTCCCACTGCTAAAGACCCCTACGCGCAAGCGAATTATTGTAAACCATATGTTAGTCTCGAAATGACCTAGTTTGTGTCGAGTGGACGTTAAACCCCATTCTCTCTCTCTCTCTCTCTCTTTCTCTCTCTCTCTCTCTCTCTAAACGGAGTTATTGTCGTTTACAGAACAGTGTAGTCTCGATTGTCATTGCTACGTTACGATAATAAACAAAGTCTCGATTGTCCATTTTTTAATTAAATCATTAACTAGCAATCGTGTTTGAATCCGCTGAAAATCAAAAGCATCCGATGGTCTAGAGGGCTTGGCATGTGAATAAATGTTTAATTATTCATTTATATAAAATTTAAAATTTGAGACCAAACCAAAGTTCTGCATAGGCCGATTTACCTCTTACGTGATGCATCTTTAAATAGGGTACTTTTCTTTAAAAACCTTTTGGTAAACAATTAATTCAATTCTTTCAGTAAAGTGCAATCAATCTAGCTGAAAAGGGGGCCCAACCCAATATAAATTGCAACAGTACTAACTTATGGTCAGTCAAGTTTTATATTGGTTTCTATTAATTTCACCCCGCCATCATGGGGTGGGGGTTGAATTGGATGGCCGAATGGTTAGCGCGTGCGCGCTGTATTATAAGATCAAGGAGTGGGGTCCCCTGTCCATCCTCGTGGGTTTTCTCCGGGTACTCCGGTTCCCCCCCCCCACTGCTAAAGACCCCTACGCGCAAGCGAATTATTGAAATAAAATTGAACCATATATTAGTCCTGAAATGACCTAGTTTGTGTCGAGTGGGTGTTTAACCCCATTTCTCTCCCTCTCCCCGCCATCTTTATCTCTCTTGAATACCAGTGCTTATTTGCATAATTTAACAGTTTTTTTATGGTATATATTTTTGACTTTTGAAATATATGTAAACGATTTGTTTTCTCGTGATTTTGAATATTGTACGTGTATATAAATTAATGGTTTGCTGTTTACATGCGCGTATTTGAAGACTTTATAATAATACCATATATGGCAGCCAGAGAGTTTTAAATGCCTTAATACATCTGGAAAAGAGGTTAAAAAATATAGGTTATAAAAATGAACAGTGGAATGTTATATTGATTTTTTTTTTTTCTACCAGATTTAGTTGGAAGAAGTGTTATGATTTCTTCCGTATTCATTTGTGTGTCCAGGGAGACCATTTTCAGGAGTTCTCACCAGACAAGACACAGGAACCGGCTTCTTTGGGTCATATCTAAATATTAAGGCCACCTCCAGAATCCGTCAATGTCACGGGGTGTAAACATGGCTAGGGCACGTGATTGTTGCCGGGGATTGTGGGTGAGGTCTAGGGTTAGGGTTAGCTCTAGCCCTGTTTACATCATTTTGGGTAATGACAAAAATAAACGAATAGTTTATATGATGAACTGTTTGATATTTTTGGCGTCTGGTGGTCACGGTTTTTGTCTTTCCATTTGTTTGCTTGCTTAAAATGTTCCTGCCAAAAATCGTGTACATCTGATTATTATTATATTATTACATAATACATTAGTAAAACTAAAACGTAGTACATGTATGATGTATGTCATATATATTGTCGTGTTAAATCGTAGCAAAGTAGGGATGAAGGACAGAGGGCCTGACAAGGACAGCTGTTTAGTCCTTCGGATGAGACGAAAAACCGAGGCCCCGTGTATACATTGGAATGCACGTAAAAGATCCCTTGGCAGTTGGAATTCGATATAAGAGTAGGCGATAGTGCCGCTGCCCGGGCAAAATTTCCCTCATAGCACACTGTATGGCGTATGCCCGTCTTCATTAGCCCAGCATAGGAGCAGAACAATAGGACGTTAAACCCCATTTCATTTCATTTCAGCAAAGTAGGGACGCTATAAGACAATGTATCTTTCACATTTTTGAACCCCCTCGGATCAAGAGTATAAATGGAGTGCGGTACACTACGTAGAAATTTGCATCTATGTTTACCGCGTATAAATCATAGAA